GGTCAAAAAAAGAACGAACGGAGAAGAATAGAGAAAGTGGTATACAGAATCGATATTGCAGTTCAATCCGCGAATGTTGATGAGGGTGATGAGGGCACGATTTCAGTCTGAGTGCTTAGAGCGAGCGAGAGAACGTGAGCGTTTGTGATTTCGTACTGTCATGTTTATGTTGTGTGGAAACCGGCAATCATGATCCTGAAAATTGGAGTGGCAGACCACATGAGACTAACGCTCTTTATGAACTGGTGGTAATCAAGTTGCTTCATTACCCACATTAACCATAATCTAGTTGTTCGGGTTCATGCTTTTGACACGAAGTCAACTCGCCTCGTCAGTACCAAACTCTGCTGCGTGCAGACGCAACCACACGTCTCTGTTTAGGTCTCCGTACAGCATCCAACGGGCTACGTTCACCACGCTCTGGGTTCTTTCAACTCGTTATATTTCGTTTCGCGCATTAGGAATAGCATTACTCGTTGCATTGGTCAGTTGTTTTCTGTTCACTGTTCTACCATCCTTCGTTCTAGATTCACCATGAGTTGGCGCGCCTGCACGAAGCCGGACGTTTTTTACCCAATTGCAAGGGAGGCTGGTCGCACGCTGGATTGGGTGGTTTGCTACTGAAGAATCCTGATCTGGGCGCTTCCGACGACCCGAACCTGGACTCTGGCAACCCGAACAACGACGAAATGGATGACGCCAATGCGCCCGACTCGCATTCGCCCGTGATACTTCCAGAACATTCGATCGATTGGAGCGCAGTGCTTTTCCACGAACGCCATGCAGCTCAGCTCGGTTGCTTGGAAGCTATGATTGTCATGGCACACTACTATTTGGGTTTACCCACCCAATTAATGTTAGATTGTCCAATCAAGGTGAGGTGATTCCTTGGTCAACAACAAAAAATATATGTATACGCATCGGAAGCCAAGAAATGGACCATGCGAAGTAAAACAAATAGATGACTAGAAACTAGAACTACTCATTGTGGATTAAAGTGATGACTTTTTGACCGGCAGCACTTAAAAAAACGGTGAAAGCCTCGTTTTAAGTGTTGTTGTATAGATCTCTGCATTCTGATTGATCACTCAGACATTTACCAATGCGGTTGCTCTTAGGCACATTTCAATGCACTGCAATTTCCTCACATGATTCATATTATTCACCACATTCATCTCTGTGCAGTTGTTTCACAAAGAAGTATTGCCTCATTTTATGAGGGACTGAATGCGTTTTGCATGAAGGGAATTAATTGCGTGTGCTAACATCTGTCACGGGATTCCAATTTGGACATGGTCCGTTGACTCGAGTGCCTCTACAGCCGGTTAAGTTTTGCACGGTGGCTTTGTCCATTTGTTTATCTATTCATCTTCCAATCGTAACGGATTAGAATCCCGATGAAGCCCAGTTTCATTTGACCAGCTGAATGGGCATTCTTTCAAAGTTATTAAACTACTTCGTTTCTTGTGCTAAAATATCATTGTAATTAACTGTTCTAATGTTCAAATTCGAAGTTCGTCTTGCATTGTATCTTTGCCTCCTCCTGCATTTGCGTTGACCCATCTTTACGACAGCCCAACCAAAGTGATCTTCGTTCTGGTGTGGACTATCTCGGTCGTGCAGCAGAGGGTGGAGATCGACGTTGCATGATCTTACTTGCCCGTTTTCTCGATGTGTCTGCTAGCCTATCAGACCCATCACATGCGGTTAGTAAGACTACGCGACCAGATGATTTTCTTCTGCTACCCGCATTGACCTCCGCCAGCCGAGATGCGGTGCCACTGATTTCCTCCGACCCATGGTTAGAAGCGATCACGTGGTACAAAAAGGCAGTGGATACCGCCGGAGTTACGGCCCCCAGTGACGGAGCACCTGATGAAGGTTTAGACGCTGAGGGTCGATACGACGCAGCCGAAGATCTGTTACCAGTTTATCGTATTTTAGCCCGAATGGCCGAAATGTATTCCATTGGAGGATTCGGTTTGAAGCAGAATTGCAATATGTCCGGTTAGTTTTTTCACTTGGCCTATTCGTATAGATGACGGGGGTGTTTTTCATTGATGAGTGACATTTTGTAAATTACGAACAAGTGTTTTGCTGTGCATATTGCCACTTCAAGTGAGATACGGAGCTGTTTAATAAGTAAACCTGTTCATCCTGATTAGAATGATGTTTGGTGTAGGATATTCTTAATATTGTGAAACATTTCACACAACGTCCAGCTGCCTTGCGGGTCGGACTTCGGTTAGCCGAAGGTTCCGGTTGTGAACTCCCCTAGAAAATTCACCTGCCTTGGCCTGGGCAACCTGACAGTATCCCGCCCACATGCAAATGATGCAACGTTTTTTTAAAAGACATTATTTTATCGTGATTTGTTTAACACAGTCTGAACTAACTCATGGGTGAAAAAATAAATTGTATATTACTATTAAGAGATCGTAATCGAATTAACTTCTTTGCCACAACCTTCAAGCGAAGGCAGTACTGGGGCTTACAGCGGTCGAATGAGTCGAAGCCGCTTTCAGATCGAGGAAGATAGAAATGGTGGATCTAAAAAAACGGATGTTCCAAAATTTGGTGAAGGGGGAAAATGTGGTCTGTACAACCTCGACTAGGCCTAAAACCAGCCTGGCTCTCACGCGTGCACTATTCACTTGCGGTGAACAATCGACTGAGTACTATGCCAGCGAGAAGTCTGAAGACAATTTTAATCAAACTAATTGCTCCGTGGTTTTCACAAGAGGGTCTGTTACCAACTCACACCAGTTAGTTGGTACCTGTTCCCTTCGAAGACCGATTTGTGGCTGTCACTTACATTGCACTATAGGTATCCT